ATATTGAAATAAATACTGAGGTGATTAGTATTCCTTGATTTCATACGGATATATATTCGATTCTATAAATATATGTGCGCGCATATACACACACACATACATACGCATACACACGTACATTAAGAGACATACATACAGACAGAGAGACAAACAGACAGACAGACAGGCAGGCAGGCAGACAGACAGACAGATGCACTCACATTTAGAATACACGTAGTCTACTTTATTTCCTTTTAAACGTGTCAAACCGATCTCATCAACATAAAAACGAGGAACTTTTAACACATAAAGTACGTGGTATTATGTAAGAAAAAAAGTAAAAAAAAAAAAAAAAAAAAAAAAAAAAAAGGAAAGAAAAAAAAAAGAAACAAAGGAGTAGAAAAAAGAAAAGAAAGAAAAAAGAAAAAAAAAGAAAAAAAAAGATTAATCTATTTAATAATTATGCGTCAAATATGGATTTAAAAGTTGTGCCGGGCATCGCCTAAGGCAACCAACGAACTAGACTTTTTAAGGTAGACATTTTGCCAAGGCCACAAATATGTACGTATAAACATATACATATGTATAATACATAGCGAGACTGGGTGTAACCTCCCCACCCCTCCCTCCCCTTTCTCACTCTCTCTCTCTCTATCTCTCTAACATTGGATACGAACGTATTATAGAAATTTGCAAAATTCAATCGTTCCGCGTAAAAAAAAGATAAAAGAAAAAAAGAAGATAAAAAAAAAAATAAAAATGAAAACGGGCATGAGAAATTATTTAATAGGATACACGTGACGAAATTATTTAATAGGATACGATAACAAGCGAACAAACAAAACAATAAAAATAAAACATAAAACACAATGTCTTAAACTCGCGATATTTTAATCGTTCGGCGAATAGAAAGAAAAAAAAAAGAAAGAAAAAAGAAAAAAAAAAAAAGAAAAAGAAAAAGAGCTGCCCACGGTCGAAAGTATCGAAAAGAAAATCAATTTCGAAAAAAGGAAGACACACGGTGGGCGATGCGTCGAGAGATGACCTAAACGAAAAAAGAAAAAAAAAAAAAAAAAAAGAAATTAAAAACAAAAAAAAAGACTGAGGAATGTTTAGGGGAAAAAAAAAGAAGGAAAAAAAGAAGAAGAAGAAAAAGAAAAAGAAAGAAAGAAAACAAAGAAAGAGAGTAGAAAGAACAAAGAAAAAAATAGAAAAAAGATTTTAACAATAAGAAAAAATGAAAAAAAAAAAAAAGCGAGAATAAATTGTAAAATTTCCTAGACGATTTCGCATACGTAAAATTCATCTCGTGCTAATATATGCAACATATATATACATACATACATACATACATACATACATACATACATACATACATAAATCGATACATACATAAATGCATCTATACATATATATATCCATACGTACATATGTACATACATACATATGTATATGGAGTATGTGTGATATGTATATAATATGCTATATATAACATATACGTGTGAAGGTGTGTGGTATGAATATACATATATACAATATATGTGTCAAAGAGAGTACGTCGTTGTTCATTGCGCACGATCTATCCACATCTCTCTCTCTCTCTCTCTCTCTCTCTCTCTCTCTCTCTCTCTCTTTCTTTCTAACACAAATACACGCATTATACATACAAAAAAAACACACACAAACAGAATGATTCACACTCATAGATCTTATATCACAAAAATGTTCGACCCTTAACGAGCAAGTAAATGTAGTAATACGTGTAATAATAAAAATTATTATTAGATAATATTATTCCGTCATCGAGTAAGATGATTTCACATGATGATGGGAGAGAAGAAGAAGATAGAAAGAAAGGAAGAAAGAAAAAAAGAAAAAGAAATAGAGAGAGAGAGAGATAGATAGAGAGAGATAGAGAGAAGAGACAGAGAAAAAAAAAAGAAGAGAAAAGATAAATAAAAGAAAGAAATATAATAGCTGTGAGAAACAGAGAGATATAGAGAGAGAAAGAAATAGATAGATAGATAGAGAGAGAGAGAGAGAGAGAGAGAGAGAGAGAGAGAGAGAGATAAAGAGATAGAGATAGAGAGAGAGAAAAATAAACGACGATGAAAATAAATAAGTGAAAATAGGACGAAAGAACGAAACGTACATGTATGTATATATGATATGTGTGTGTGTGTGTGTGATAAGAGAGCACAGGTGTATGTATGTGTGTTAGTGTATATCTATATATCTATATCTATATATATATATAAAAGAAAAAGTATATATGTATATATACACACACACACATAGATAAAGGTCCCTTAAAGTCGTATCGAGCGATACTTCGAAGTGGACCGTTCGTGGTTGGCCGATACCAAGGTTCTCGATGAAATTATATATATATATTTATATGTATATATATATATATATGCATATATAAATATATATATATTTGTACGTAATGTATATTAAAGAGAAAAAGAGAAAAAGAGAAAAAGAGTAAAAGATAGAGAATGACGTATGATGGACTCACCCTTTATAAGAAGCACACACGTTGGTGGTGTCGATCGGTATCTTCCTTTACGATGTGATAACGTTGGTAAAACATCAAGAAATAATACGACGACGATACGAAGTTGATTGTGAAGATGACGACGACGATGATGTTGTTGTTGTTGATGATGATGATGATGATGATGATGATGATGAACACAACGACGATGACGACGATGACGACGACGACGTCGACAACAAACAATAAAATAATAACAATAACAACAACCAGACGAGAAAAGAAACTAGGCGTCAATTATTCCGACGATATCTATCTATCTCTCTTCTTCTTCGTCTTCTTCGTCTTCTTCAAAGTCTTCGTCCTCGTCTTAGCCGTCGTTGTCGTTCACTGCCAACAGCGTCGTTCCATCCGTCGTCTAACCGCGTGCGTGATATATATATCTACATATATATATATACATATATATACATATATATATATTACGTATAGGTATATATAATAATGTATATACGTATGTATGTATGTATATATATGATGTATAAGTATATATAATAATGTATGTATTTATGTATGTATGTTATGTATGTAACTATGTCTCTCTCTCTCTCTCTCTATCTCTGTCCTTTACTCTCCCAGGCGGTTCACTTCGCGCACAATTTATCACTGTATATTACCACGAAAATATAAACGAGCGTAGTAACGGTCTCACGCGCTAGACAGGACACTGCACAGAAGGGAGGCAATGTAAGGTATAAAAGAGATAGGCAGAGGCAGAGAGAGAGAGAGAGAAAGAGAGAGAGAGAGAGAAAGAGAGAGAGAGAGAGAGAGAAGCTCGTGGTGGAGGAAGCGAGAGATAATACAAGAGAGAGAAAGAGAGAGAGAAGTATAGACTTGGCCGGCCAACCAACCAACCAACGAGCGAGTATTCGCTAATGAGAACGACAAGGATAGTAGATAGAATTGGGAGATATACAAGAGAGAGATAGACAGAAGAAAGACAGAGAAAAGGGCATAGAAATAAGAAAAATAAAAGTAAGAAAGAGAGAGAAAGAGAGAGAGAGAGAGAGAGGAAGAGAGAGAGAAAGAGAGAGAGAAAGAGAGGAAGAGAAAGAGAAAGAGAGAGATATTTAGTCTTTTTCGTTCCTTTTCACCGTTAAAGTCACGGTTGCCAACAATAATGAGGATTACTATCTCGTTGTCGACGGTTACACATTCTACGACGATATGACGCCTTCAGAAAGAGAGAGAGAGAGAGAGAGAGAAAGAGAGAGAGACAGAGAGCCAGCGAGTCTCGCCCCATGTGACACGGTAGCGGTAGCAGCAGCAGCAGTGGCGGCAGCCTATCGAGGTATCCGCATAGCACGAGTCAGTATTACTCGTATGCAGATGAGAAAGAGAAAAAAGATAGAGAGAGAGAGAGAGAGAGAGAGAGAGAGAGAAAGAGAGAGAGAGAGAGAGAGAGAGAGAAAAGGGCTGAAGAAAAGAAGCGAGAGCTAGAACGAATAAGCGAGGAAACGAGAGCAAGAGAGAGAGAGAGAGAGAGAAATAAGATAGCAAAGTTAAAGAAAAATTAGAATGAAAAATATGTGTTTCGATGAGTGTACGACCTACGTTTGTGATATCTCTTCGTTTTGTCAATTGTGTAAGAGAAAGAGAAAGAAATAAAAAAAAAAAAAAAAGTAAAAAAATGAAAAGGTTGAAAGAAAGGAAAGAGAATATGTCGCGAATTAACGAAATCGTTTGCAAATAAACCTTCGATAATGATCTTTATATGTTTATATTATTTTGTCGCACTAATCGTCGAACTTGAAAATATTATAAGGTTCGAGATATATGTATATATTTCGACGTTATATCCGAAGAAATGATACAGGTGAGAAACGTACGAATGGGAACGCGAATCGACCGGCTTATTGCGCGGCGTGACACGGTCTGAGTCTTCGTTCCTTCTTTGCGCCGGCACCGTTTAATACGATGGCGTTAGTGTGCACGTTAAAAACAACGACGCGTCGTGTTATAGATAGAGGCGTTGCCTATTAGTACCGGTCGATAAGATTTCGTTAAGATGACGTTAACTAGATGGCGCTAACTAAAATGGCGCTAACTAGATGGCGCTACGTTTCATGACGAATACTCGCGCTAACGACGGACATAAGACGTAACCTTCGCCGAACGACTTCGTCGAACGCGAACTTTCGATGATTTTACGATCATCGAAGACGTAACAATGTCTGTGTTTTGTAATACGTAAGATATATATGCCATAATGGAAAAACATCGACGTTATTGTCATAATTGATTATATTCTTTTTTCTTCTTCCTTTTTCCTTTCTTTTTTCTTTTTTATGTCGTAACTTCGAGAAGATTAAGTAAAGATATTATTCTTATGAATTACGTTTTACGTTCAACCAATCGCGTGCATTGTCACTCATTTGAACGCGATATTACAAAAAAAAAAAATATCTGTATATATATATATATATATATAGATATATTACGAACGAGCGAGAACGATAAGGCTCGAGCGTACAAATTCGGTCAAAGGAGTCAAGAAGAAGAGACAGTTAAATCTATAGAAGACACAGTCAAATATAGAACTCGTGACGCAGACTTATTCCTATAAAATGTTATATATTTAATCGATAAGAATAGGTGAGAAAAAAACTTTTTCTCATGTTTACAATGGTTTAACCTAAAAATGATTAATATGATTTGTCATTTCATCTAACAAATAAATACGACTCTCTCTCTCTCTTCCTCTCTTTTTTTTTATTATTTACTAACAATTATTCTTTTTTTTATTAAATTGAAAATTTTACAAGAAATATCATATCTATAAGGATATATCAATATTAAAAGCATTTACATTTAACGCAAAAAAAATATCACGTGTTACGAAACGAATCACGTTGCACTAAGGCCTGTTATATGTATATATATATATATATATAGGTTGGAAACTATGAAACGGGCGTTGAATGAAAATAAATAACTAAACAAAAATGCTCGTTTCAAAGTTTCCAATCTAATATTATTATCCTTAATTAAACTTAGTTTTTTAAGATTGTTATACTATTAAAAGTATTGTTATATATTAATATCGATTATGATCGATTAATTTCTTGAAAGATGTTTTTCATGAAAAAGACATAAACTATATTAGCTATGATGTTAAATTTCAAATTAAAGCGTATAACTATGTGATAAATTTTGATTGGTTGGTAAAAAAGACGTATATTCTAAAAACATCATTCTTAAAAAAAAAAAAAAAAAAAAAAAGAAGAATAGATTGCAGAATAATACGCTTCGATTAATGAATTTTCTTACGTATGACGTATATCTTATTCGTCACCTTTCGTTATGATTTTAGCGACAAGTATGAATTAAATATGAACTACAAACGTAATAAAGAGAAATATTGTCTACGGCATAATGCATATGCATGTAAGCATGAATAATATCAATTTTGTGTAAGTTATACCTTGTTGTATAAGTATTATTCTCACAAACGCTTAACCTAATAATCGAGGATTGACGAATTATTGTAAATTTATTTTTCCTTTCGTTTCTATTTAATGAAGATACGTATAATAAAAGGAAATTAAAGAAAACATATGTATGTGCATTTTTTTTTTTAAGATATGTACTAAGATTTATAAAAAAGTGTTTATGTTTGTTCTACAAACTCTCTCTCTATATATATATATATATATACATGTGTGTGCGTGTGTGTGTGTATATATATATGTATATGTATATATATTTTCTTTCTAATTAAATTTACACGTTTAGGTAAAAAATTTTTTGTTTAAGCAGTCATTAAGATTGTTAATTATTTACAATGTAAATATCTACAGCATTAAAAAAAAAACGATGATAGAAAATTATAAAGAAAATAATATTAATTAGCAAGATCTCGCCATTTGGTTAATTTTTGTCTTATAGACATCGATATGTTCAATGAATATTTATTGATTTTCACTCACCGTTTAAAGCAGCAGATGTTTATAAGTCGAAATCCAACGGCGAACTGACTCGAGAATTAATGTCGATGTTTTATTCGTGTCTTCATTGTATTAAACATCTTGAAATGCGAAAGGTTTTATTTAACGTAACGTGAGAGGTCAAAATAGTGAAATTCGGTGAATAAATGACTGAGTAAAAAATTAGAGCACTTTTCGAAGAAGTATATTTTTTTTTCTTTTTTTTTTTTTCTTTTTTTCTTTTTTTTTCCATTGAATATTATTTTTACGTGCAAATGTATTATTCTTTTGTCAGAAAATTATATGTCAATAAATGTTTAATCCCGTGAATAGGAATGAATAAAATCCAAAACGTTTGGATAAAACAAATGAAAAGATAGATAGCAATAGTGATTCAGAATATTAAGTATTTTGTTTTTAATATTTTTTTTTTGTTTCGTTTTATGGCCTTTTTTATTATTATTATTATTATATACACTATATACATAATATGTATATAGTATATACATAATATATTATATTCAAGGACATTAGCAATGAGAGATAAGGACACGTAAATCTATTATCGCTTCCAATGTATAAAGCTGATATTGCAAATCCAAGCTAATATCGTTCCGTGTTTCGATGCGAAGTGTGCTTAACGCTTTGAGTGCTAAATATTCGTGGTTCGTATGCAGTCCGTACGGACAGCGCACGGCTGGCACGGTGGAGACTGAATACTTTTTCACACAATAGAAACAATTGCCGAATATATACATTCGACCACAGTACACTAATCATTTTTGCCAGGCGTGTATTTGCTTCCATAATCTATATCGGTAGCTTTCGCTGGACGCATATGTGAGCCCATGGTATTCACAGGGTTAATAGTATCATCACAACACGGTTTATCTAATCGCGGTAATTCCTATGGTAGTAGAAAATTGTATATATAGTGAAAGTTGTGGACTACTGACTATCTGTCTATTGAGTATATGACTACTGACTATAAATGACTATGAATGACTATACTGACTATACATGACTATACATGACTATACATGACTATAAGGAATATACTGACTATATTGACTATAAACGACTACAAATGACTATAAGGACTATAAATGACTATAAATAACTATAAGAACTATAAATGACTATAAATGACTATAAATGACTATAAGGACTATACTGACTATAAATGACTATAAGGACTATACTGACTATATTGACTATAAGGACTATAAGGACTATAAGGACTATAAATGACTATAAATGACTATAAGGACTATACTGACTATAAATGACTATAAGGACTATAAATGACTATAAGGACTATACTGACTATAATGACTATACCGACTATTGACTATATGACTACATGACTATCTTAAAGAGTTTATGGTATGGGAGTGCTTTTTGCAAATTAAATGAACTACTATGTATTTCAGAAACGCGTCGAAGTGGACCACGCGCCATTTTCAAGTTATGTTTATATGTAATTTCTTCAAATTTTTGACTTAGTCCACTTTCGTAATTAACACTAAATGTATTCCGCATAACGTTGAAATTACATCCACTATCTAAAGATTCATTTTTGACAATATTGTAAAAATTAGATTAAATACATATAGTTTAAGATATAATGTTGATGTGAAATAAGTGATAAAGTAAGTTTTTTGAAATATTGACTTAGACCACTTTCATAATTATGAGCACATATATATGATGTTATTATATTTTATAAATAAATGAAAATGATAAAAGTAATAATCAAAGAGAGTCGTTTGTAAGAAGGAGCGTCCGAGAATTTAAACTTTACATTTTTATATAGAAATTAATTAAAATATTTAATCAATTTGAATTGATAAAGGAAATGTACCAACATACGTAGGTTTTTGCCTTTGAAGGAAAAACTGTCGAATGAAATCATTACTTTTGAAAGAGAAAAGTCAAGCGGAATCATTGTTTTCGAAATAAAAAAAAAGATCGAATGGAGTCATTATTTTTGAGATAGAAAAGTTGATTTATTCCTTTTCAAAGAGATAAGTCGTGTTAAAGTGCATTTCTAAAAAAAAAAAAGAAGAAGACAAAAAGATTTCTAAAATCATAAAACGTAGATTCTATAAAAACTAATCAATTAATTTTTAACTAAGAAATTTTTTAATAATTAATATATCGATCAATTTCCCTGTGACTTTTCAATGAATTATTTTCTATGCGAAGAACTTCGGATTTTTTTCTATTCAAAGTTGCATTAGGATTGTCGATTATTTTCTATATTTTAGAATCAAGGACGATTTTAATTCTAATCGTTGTTAAATTAATCGTTGTCTATTTAATCGTTATTATGGAATCCCCTGAGATAGTATTTTGTTTTTAATATTTTTTTTTGTTTCGTTTTATAGCTTTTTTATTATTATTATTATATATACTATATATACATATATATATATGATATTATATTATATAAATAAATGAAAATGATAAAATGATTATGGTACGAAGCAAGGAAAAAGCTATATATCGAAGAGATTCTTATAAACTATAATACAAGATGCTAAATATAGATTACTGAGTTATTTTCAAAGGTTCACTAGAAACTTTTAAAAAGAATGGCTCTTAGTCGTATTTTAATTTTATCATGTTATCAATCGAAATGATCTTACAATGACAGATATAAGGGTGGATTTGAAAAATTGAAACGACATGATGTCCCGTCTCTGATCTCACTTTGTCATGAGTACAGGAATGTCCATTTTTATTATTAAAATCGAGTCGTAAATTCTGTAATTTTCTTTCATTTTTAAAATTCGATTAAATTCAGAATTTTATTCTTACAAATATTTTAATTTTTCCCTTTAGTAAAGTTTGATAATAAGTACCATAAATTTTATTTTGATAAAAATCAAATTCTTTTGATAAGATAGTTATAAATTTTTTTTTCGAATATTTTCCTTTAATTGAAATTCAATTAAATTCATAATTTTATTCTTATTCAATTAAAATTCTATATCAGTGTGATAGATAAGAAAATTTATAAGATGTAGCAATTGTGAGGATCACCGAAGGTGCATTAAACTAAAGTGCATACGAAGGTGAAATGAGGACGGAAGGAAATCTGTCAAGGACCCACTTCATTTTTATTATTAAATTAACAAATACTTTGTTAATTAAATTAATCTATTAATGAAATTAATCTATCTTGAGAGAAGATGTAACAACTGGTGCCCTCCAGAAGATTCATAAAAAAATGCAGCAATCAGTTGCACTGACATCTATCGGATTATTCAGCTATTACGTATCAATGCATCAAAAGTTTTACCATATGCAAATTCAAAGGAAACTACTGCCATCTACGTTTCGATTCTATGAAGACGAATGATTTCGATATTGCCATTTCTATATAAATAAATTATTATACTTTTGCATATTATATATCGAATTATAGTTGTAATTAAAAAGAAAAAAAAAAAAAAGAAACTAAATAAACGTAAATATATTTTAAACAAAGTATTATACTTCGTTACAATTGTATTTAATAATATTATGTTTTTTAACACGAAAACATATATACACATACACATAAAACAAACAAACATATTTATCATACTCTCAACAAAGTCACGAATGTTAAAATATAATTTTATTTTGTCAAAAAACGAATGTCTTTTTCATTAATGTTATCTAATGCATCGTAACGTTTTTGCATTTTTTTTTTATCTCTTTAATAAATGCAAACGACGAACGTAAACGTAGACGAGGTACAAAGACATTTTCGTTTATATTTTTTAAAGAAAAATTACATAAGTTCGAACGTTCCCGTAGTTTCTCCCGTAGTTAACATTACATATATTACATGCATATCTATAATGCATTCAGAACTTTCTATTTCTATCATTATTATCATCAACTATTACGCGTTCATGGATCACAATGACGCAAGTGATTTTTACGAGGTAAGGACATTAAAAGTAAAAGATCCATCGAGATGACCTCTTCGAGGGAATAGGCAAAAATCATTATTTATTAATTCAAGGCAGTCTTCTTTAGAGTCTTCTCTTTTTTCTCTCTTTTTTTTTTTTTTTTTTTTTTTTTTTTTTCTTTTTTGTCCACACCGTGCCGGCTCTTATTGCTCTTTCTCTCTCTCTCTCTCTCTCATTCTAAGGCTGTTAAGTAAGTACCTGCAACGCAGTGCTATTAGTCCGAGTAAGTATATGCTAAGTCATATGCGTTTTCCCGAACCAGCAAGGTTAATTTACATTAGCCGGTTACGATTTACATGTACTTCTATTTCGATAGCGGGATATCTAAAGAAACTTTTCTAGGAACAAATATTTCGAAACTTTCTTATACTATTTTAATATCGTAAAAACGAAGAGAAGATACGCGGACATACGCGTACAATTCTTTTTTTTTCTTTCTTTCTCCTTTTTCTTTTTCTTTTTTTTTTTTTTTTTTTACATACATTATCCATTGTCTGTGCACAATTAGAAAACAATAAAATCGGCAAATTCGATCGGTACGTAGGATGTTCCGAAAAAAGAAAAAAAAAGAAAAAAAAATAAATAAATAAAAAGAGAAAGAAACAGAATAAGAAGAAAAAAAAAAAAGAGAAAAAGAAAGAAAAAAGAAAAGTACAATAATAGTTTATTATTATCGGAAGAGTACTTCGTTAAAGCTTTTCTATTTTTCTTTCATGAAACAAGAGTTAAAATTCAATTTCAGGCAATATTCTATACCTCTTCTCCTCCCCCCAACCCTCTCACTCTCACTCACCCTCTCTTTTTTCTTCTCTCTCTCTCTCTCTCTCTCTCTCTCTCTCTCTCTCTCTCTCTCTCTCTCTCTCTCTCTTTCTCTCTCTCTCTCTGTCTTTCTTTCCATGTCACTATCTTTGTCCGTTTCGTTTTATAAATGGAGTATAAATTTCAGAGATTCATGTTAATATCAAATGCAATTTTCAAACTGAGATTTGAATTAAATAAGGATTATATATATACATATATGTGTGTGTGTGTGTGTGTATGTGAGTCTGTTTGTCTCTCTTTCTCTCTCTCTTTTCCTATGTGTGTGTATATGTATTAAAATATTTTCACGTTTGTGTTAGGAAAACGGTACTTGAGTATAGAACGTAAGAGAGCTAACAGTTTCATTAATATATCGCATATCATACACATATTGCATTTTAATGACAAATAATTACGCTTTATGTCATCTACATTCTCGTCAAGTCGATCAAGTCATAATTATTCCATAGTGTTTAATCGTTAATATAGAATGCAATTCATATTCGTATTGAGAAGGTTAACGCGTATTATTTTTTTTCAATTCTCTTTTTTTTTCTCTCCTTGTTCTTTTTTTCTTTTTTCTTTTTCTTTTTTTCTTTCTTTTTTTTTTTTTTTTTTTTTAAAGCATTCTTGAGCTTAATCCTTCTAATGCACGTACGATTTGCAAAATTATATTATATTAATATTTAATGCGATTTAATTATGTAATATATATGAATATTTGATAATTTTTGAAATTCACATGGGTTAAATTAAAAAAGGATAAATTAATTTTTTTTTTTTAAATCATAATAATATAATTTCACGTGATATAGATTTGTTTTATGTAATTTTTTTCTCTTCGAATTATTATAATAATTTAATAAAATTAATGTAATTTAAATTAAACAGACGAATTAGATTTCTCTATTATCTTCTCAGTTTCAAATATTTCAAAAAAAAAAAAAAAAAAAGAAAAAAAAACAAAGAAGAAAAAAGGCAAAAATTCAGAATAGAAAATCGCGAAAGATTCGAAGAGACCATTACTTCGTTTGTTTTTCTTCTTATTTTTAACTTTATTTTTTTTTATTTTTATTTATTTATTTATTTATTTTTTTCATTCTTTTTCATTTGCAAATATACATATACATATATATATATATATATATATATATTTTTTTTTTTTTTTGTAGGATGGGTACTGGTTGTAAAGTCGAATGATAATGGCTAACACTTGTTTCAACCTTTCTTTCCTTTTTTTTTGTATCTTTTCTCCTTTTTTTCTTCTTTCTTCTTTTTTCTACGATAAGGGAAAAATCTTGATGCATTTTAAACTGTCGTTCCTCTAAATATATAGCATGACATCAGCTTAATGTTGACGGAACATCGTCATTCGTCCATCTTCTCTGTGCTTTATGTCGGAATGCACAGTGAAGTATACGCTGATGCATAAATCATATTCATCGATTCGTGCGTAATGTATCTGCGTAAATGTAGACGTGAAAATATGTTTGGATTATGTTAATAATAAAAAGAAAAAGAAAAAGAAAAAGAAAAAGAAAAAGAAAAAGAAAAAGAAAAATAAATTGGAAAAGAATAAATAAATAAATAATTCGAATAAAAAAGAAAAAAAAAAAGAATAAGAAAAAATAAACGTAGAATTGAAGCTTCGTCGTACTTGAATCATGTTTTTATACAATTGTCTTTATATCTCGCGTGTCCGATTATAATCGACGACTACGTTTATCTACTTTCATTAATAATTGTCAATTATGAGGATTGACATGGTGTGAAAAAGTGATGGCCTTCTTAATTTGTGCAAAAATTTATAAAAGGGCGAATAAAATTCACGTCCACTTGTTTCTTTTCTTTTCTTTCTCTCTCTTTTTTTTTGTTTGTTCTTTTCTATTCTTTTCTTTTGAATTATTATTTCTTTTTTTCTCTTTTTTATTCTTTTTTCTTTTTTCTTTTTTTTTTGTTTTCCTTTAGTAGAGAATCTTTTAAAATTCAATCGATTGTATTACACTTTACCTTCTTTTTTTTTTTTCATTTTGAATTTAATAAAATTCAGTCAATAGTTTCTTCTTCTTCTTTTTTTCTCCCTTTCTTTTTTTTCAGTAGAAATGTTTTTTTTTTACAAATCATACAATCCTACAATAAAATTTCTCGACAAGATTAAAATGAATAAATTCATTTCGGAATTAAATCTCGTTATAATCCGTTATAATTTATAATGAAGAATATTTTATATCTATATTAAATGATAAATCAATGCTGCGAATATTCCAATGAATTCATCGAGATTTCAATTCATTCAATTAAATATTGTTTTATTATAACATATTGATTAACTATATATATATATATAAAAGAAAAAAGGAAATATAAGAAAAACATTAATTTTACGAATCTCCTTTTATGAATTAATTTTAATATTTGAAAAATTGAAGTATCGATTAATATGGTATATGATCATAATGATTTCTAATACAATACGAACATATTAATTTATCATCGGTGAAACATTTTAAATAAAAAATATCATCTGTTGATATAATCAGAGAAAGTTCAACGAGAAAGTAAGAAAGAGAAAGACATATATACACATATGTATATATATATATATATATATATATATATATATATATATGTTAGATAGATAAAAGAAAAATCAGATGGATAAATAATCTAAAAAAAAAAGGAAAAAGAAAAAAAGAAAACTATATACATACATACATACGTGCACATGAAATGTATTCATGTGCATTATCCCTCGATTACGTAAAGAAGTAAGTTGTAAAAAATGAGATAAATAACGAGTAATAAAATAAGATAAATAAAAGAGTAATAAAAATCAAAGTTGAATCGGGCCATATATATATATATATATATATCCTATAGGTCGTTGTTATAGTCATCGTTATTGTCATTGTCGTTGTTGTTGTCAGTGTTTTCGATGAAAGAAAAGAGGGGATTGAGCTAAATGAGACGGCAGTAGAATGAAAGCTTACCATCAAACCAGATCAGTTTTGTATATCAGTTTTTCATAGTCCTAATAAGTGTTTTAAATTCTACAAATCATCTCTCTCTCTCTCTCTCTCTCTCTCTCTCTGTCTTTTCGTTTTCGTGATTAATAAACCATGACAAGAGATCGACCGTGCATGAAACATGCGTTTATTTGAATCCTCTATAATACAACTTTTATCTTGTGTTTATTAAAATAATTATATAACGTGTATAGTATAGTGTAATTATATTTATAATATGGCTAATATAACTTGCACATACATAGGTGTATATATATACATACACACACACACACACACACACACACACACACACACACACACACACACACATATATATATATATATATATATAATTACTTATTGTTAGTGTAAGTTATACTGGAATATATTAATATTGTATAATATTAAAATAATAAGTTACGTACCTTTATACCAATATTATGCAATATTAAAATAATAAGTTATACTGGTATATAAACTGTTATTTATACTTGAAAAAAGAAAGGAAAAGAAAGAAAATGAAAAGAAAAAATTTTGTAGATATATATCTAATGGCAATTAAATTTATGACAATGACTTGATAAATGATATTTACAAAATAAAAATAATATATATATATATATATATATATACATATATACATACATACATATTTAAATATGTATATATATATATTTACATTACCTAACCGTGCGTGACTGAAAAGAAACATATAGTTATGTATAGGGTTAATAATGAAAAAACAGGAAAAAAGAAAAAAGATAATAATAATAATAATGACAATAATAATAATAACGAGCAAAACTTAAGGATCTATATAATTCTTATGTACACGTTCACCTGATAACATATAAAAACGCGTTGTTAAATATTAAAAAGAATAAAAAGAAAAAAAAAAAGAAAGAAAGAAAGAAAGAAAGAAAGAAAGAAAAGAAAAATGTGGAAAAGGAAAATTTGAAAATGTACGTAGAAAAAGAAAATATAATTGGATAATCGATGAATTTACGACAGATTGGTCTAAGAAATAGGGTACGTTTCGTTTCTAAGCGCAATAAGACGTCTAACATAAAAGAGCACCCACCTCCTACGTTACACGTGATTGGTTCACGTCTGTTTAGAGGTACGGACATCTCGAGTTACACCCACACAGATAGAGGCGCTCGACCGATTACACGATCGAACTAGCTCCAATCAGCGGCCTTCGAGAGATCGATTTGCGGCTTTCGAATCTCGCGGCTTCTCGACACGCTTGGATTATTCCGTAACTAAGAATGGTCGAATGAATGGTAGTGGGAGGGGATGGAAAGGTAAGCAATGGGACGGGGGTGGGTGATTGGGATGGAGGTGGTGAAGCGGAGGGGTGCTGATGGTAATGGTTGATGATGTTGATGATGTTGATGGTTGTGATTGAATGAAACTAATGTTTTACGAAATAGTGCGGGAACTGCGAATGTTGACGACTCGTTGACGATATATAAATTTTTTCGTGATCGTAGCATCACGATTGCGTATTTTTTCTTTCTTTTCTTTTTTTTTTCTTTTTCTTTTATTTCTTTTATTTTTATTTTCATTTGTTTTTTTTTTTTATGAGATAGGCGAGAAGCAAGAGAAACAAATATGGAAAGAGAGAGAGGGAGAGAGAGAGAGAGAGAGAGAGAGAGAGAAAGAATGATCGTCGTATTGTGAATCACTTGTTTACGTTCAATCTTCTAATAATCGTTATTGTCAATGAGATTGTATATGTATATGCACATGTATATTACTGTATATAACTGTGTAACGATCGACATGTTCTTCTTCGTAGTTACATCGAATTAAACTCATAATGTAATTTATTTATTTATCAGCGAGGAGATTTTTGTTTTTTTTTTTCTTCATTTCTCTTTTCTCTCTCTTTACTATATACATATATATGCTCGTACGTAGATAATATTCTTCGGTTTATATATATACATATATATTATGTAAGAAATAGTGCCTTTTTATACGGAAAATTTTATTATTGATTGTATATAAATATAAATATAAATAAATAAATAAATATATATATATATATATATATATATATATACTTTAGATAACAATAGATAAAATATTATATGATTTAATTTATTTTTATATATATAATTGTGTTAATTTTATCTCAAAGAAGAGATTAAAGTATTGGTATCTTTAATCTAACGTTTAATCTATCGTTTCAGAATGGAAAAGAAAGAAAAAAGATCGGTTTTGAAAATAAAACAAAAATGGATTAGACATGTTTACAAGAGTTTAATAATCGTATAAAAAAAAAAAAATATATATATATATATATATATATATATATAAATATATATATAAACGATTTTATTATTACTTATTATAGTTATATAAACGATACAGTGTTATTATGATACTATATAAAGGAAACGTAATGGAGGAGAAGTTCTTTTTTTTTTCTTTTATTTTTCTTTTTTCTTTTTTTTCTTTTTTTTCTCTTTTTTTTCCTTTTTTTTTTTTTAAATATTTTTTATTTTTTTAAATCACTATAAATAGAATTCCGATAATGATAAGTCGTCGAATAATGAATGTATATGCGTTCTGATATGCAAACAATGGTATACAGAGAATCGTTTTTAAATAAATAAATAAATAAAGGAAAGAAAGAAATAAATAAACTAGCAAAGGAATGATAATCAGATAAAGAAAGTCATTATTTATTTGCACGCATTTTCATCATTCTTTTTGTTTCTTTCTTTCTTGCTTTTTTGCTTTTTCTTTTTTTCTTTCTTTCTTTTTTTTCTTTCTTTATCTTTTTCTTTTTCTCTTTCCATTTTCAATCCGTGCATCGTCAATGACGACGTATAAACGTTGAAACGAGATTAATGCAAATTTAATTTTACAGAATTATTAATACGTTATGTATGCGAAATGAATGATAGAGAAAGAACGGGGAAACACTTTGGAGACCGAGTGGCTGACTAAACTGTTTCTTAAATGAAAATAAATACACATTTATCGTGAACGATCTCAATACAGTTATGTTTACCGTAACCATATAAATTACGCGGGAAATTATGTTGTAAATAAGAAAAATGATAGGGGAAAGATATCGCGGTATAATTATCGACAAATAAAATTTCTATTTTGAGTTGCATGTATCCTATCGAAGTATTTCATCTTCGCGAAATGCGAAAGAGAGAGAAAAAAAGAGAGAGAGAGAGAGAGAGAGAGAGAGTGCGTGCGTGCAAGTGAGAGAAAGAGAGAGAGAGAGAGAGAGAGAGAGAGAGGGGGAGGGAGGGAGAGAGAGAAATTAATAAAACATGGCCGTCCTCGTATGTCTTCTAATCTTCTCGAAAAAGCAGATTAACACGACGACAGCTGATAGCACGTCAGAGACACGCTGACGAAACGATCGTTCGTAATGTAACGTAATGTTTGTAAGTGCGCTTTAAGAACATTTACTGCGGGCGCATGCGAACGATATTTTCGAAACGGCCGGCGTAGCGGCCGCCACTCGGAAAAAGTTTCTAATAATCGTTTATTCGCTCGTTACCTATTTTTTTTTTGTTTTTTGTTTCCTTTCTTTCTTCCTTCTTTTTTCTTTTTCTTTTATTTTGTTTCGTTTCGTTTTATTTCGTTTTTCTTCTTTTTTTTCTTTTTTTTTTCTTTTTTTTTTCTACTCCGAAATATTTACAAGTGCGCCAGCCGTGTCCGTTACCATTGTTATTTCTGTGACTGATCTATCTTGTTTTGTTATATCTTTTTTCCTTTTTATCATCTTCTTATCTCTCTTTCTTTCTTTTTTCATCCTCTTTAATACCCTTCGTCTTTCTGCAAAATATTCTCGAGAGAAAAAAATCTTAAGATCTGTTAGCGCTGATGTGTATTTGGTTCGTAGTATATCTCAAAGTTTGAGGGGAAGAAGGGAGGCCTGTGACCTTCGGGCATGGAGGACCACGAGATTCAGGAGCTGGTGAACTTCAATGATGACGTCATCGTTGGAGCCGACCTTGCTTCCTCCTCCTCATCCGACAGTAAGTATTACCTATTTCTTCATCATAGTATCATTAGCGTCATTTTTATTATTATTATTATTATTATTATTATTATTATTATTATTATTATTATTATTATTATTATTATTATTATATTTTTTTTTCTCATTTATCTATTATCTATTATTTATTATCTATTATTATTATTATTATTATCATTATTATTATTATTACTATAATTATTATAATTATGATTATAATTGTTATTGCTGTTATTGTCATCGTCATTAGTGTCGTTGTTGTTATCGGGAATAAGAAACTTGGAATATTTATTGATATCGAAAAATTCGTATAGATTAAGAAAATATTATAAATAATATTTTTCGTCATTTCGATAAGAGAAAACGGAATGTAATTTGTTTTTTTTTCTTTTTTTTTTTACTTTCTTCCTTTCTTTTTCTTTTTTTTTCGCTTGAATAAGTACGTTTTTCAAAGAAAAATTTCAAAGATGATATTAGAAATTATATCATTTTTATATATATCGTAGCATTAAGAGAAACGTGAAACGATTGACGATATTGAATAATTCTATATAGATTAAAAAAAAATGAAAATATTCGATTTATATTAGTAAGTAAGAAATATGACGAAAATTTGTTGAGTTTTTTTTTTATTTAAATTTGATTTGTAAAAATCGACGATTAATTTCGAATATTATTTGATGATTTTTAAACAAACGTTACAAATTAGACTGTTCTCTCTCTCTTTCTCTCTTTCTCTCTCTCTTTTTCGTGCTGTTTTGCGATTATACAACGAATCGTGGACATGTTTCATCGTCATAGCACAGGCAAAAATTCGCACATAACGAAGTGAGTCGCGAGATAAGAACGCGCCAGGCAAAAAGATAACCCTGAGACCCTCGCCTCTCTCTCTGCCCCTCTTTTTCTCTTCCCCCCCCTATCTCTCTCTCTCTCTCTCTCTCTTTCTTCCCCTCTTTCTCTGTCCTCCCTCTCTCTCTTTCTCTCTTTCTCTCTCTCTCTTTTTCCTTATTTCTTTCTTGCTCTATTATGCGCACGTTCTATACGAGTGTATAAGTAGTATCAAAATGGCAGCCGTGCGATCTAGAAATTGAAAGAGATTATTGCTCTTATTTCTTCTGTAACGAAAATATGTGATTTCGAAGAAAAAAAAGAAAAAAAAGAAAAAAAAAAAAAGAAAAGAAAAAAAAGGAAAAAGACCTTGTTTCTTTTTTTCTTGCTTTTTTCTTTCTTTTTTTCTTTCTTTCTTTTTTTTTCTTTCTTTTTTTCTTTCTTTTTTGTTTTCGTAATATTGAACACATTTTTTGAACATTTCGATTTTGATTGCGTGGACGCGCGATCGATGTGACGAGATAGGAAAAAAAAAGAAAAAAAAAAAAAAGGAAAAAAAAAAAGACAGTGAGAAACTTTATAGATAAGATAGCGTTCGACGTCGAAGAAATTTTTATGCCTAACTTATTATAAATGAAAAAAAAGATTCGCAAAAGGTGATACTCTTTTTATTCGAACGATTGTTAAATCTACTTTCGTGTCAAAGTTAAACGTTTTTCCTTTTTTTTTCTGCTTTTTTTTTTTTTTTTTTTTTTTTTTTTTCATTGAAACATTTCCGAGCTGTCGTAAAATAATCGAAATATGTCTCGTAAGATCGATCTACAAATCGATTAATTTTACGTTTCTCGTATCTCCGTGCGATCATTAAGATTAAACGTAGTACAATAAATTCGTCGAAACGTACGATTCCGTGTTTCTTGTTCTTTTTTTCCTTTTTTCTTCTCGCCAAAATATGAAATTTTTCGAAACAGTCCGTACCTCTCGTAGTACGGTATTTTTATAAATCTTTCATATATTTTCAAAAAAAAAAAAAAAAAAAAAGAAAAAATTTACAGAAAGTGAAGAAACACTTTTGAGATAAACGAATCTTCGTATCGCCTTTTGTCGTATCAAAATTCAACATTATTTTTTCAAAAATATTTCAAAAAATATTACATCTCATTAATCCCATAAATAATATATCTCATTTTTGATCCAAACAATTCATCGAACAATTGTCCTCTTCAATTCTGTATATTTTTAAATGTTCCGAAAGTTAAAGGAAACCATTCATCAGATAAAAATGATTCAACACGTCTGATTTTTTCGTTGCCAAAAATTTGGATATTTTTCAAAATAATCGTACGTCTCGCACGATCGATCTTAATCAACCCGTTTCGTTACTATGCATTTTTAAAGGTTACAAAAGGTTAAAAAAAAAAGGTTTATCGTGATAAATGACGTAGGGTATCTCTCTTTTTTTCTTTTTTTTGCCGATAAAAATCGACATTTTTCATAATAATCTTACGTTCAACGCGATCGATCTGATGGTAACGAACATCAAAAGTATTATGTTCCTCATCTCTATGCAATTTTACAAATTATAAAAGTTAATGTAACATATTCGGAATAAAAATTATTCGATGATACTTATTTATCAGGGATTAAGAAATCGATATTTTACGAAATGATCGTTCGTTTATCTCGTATTATCGATCTCTCGTAGGTAATATATACGTTATATATATTTTATCTTTATGCATTTTTAAATATTAGTAAAGATAGAAAAATAAATTAGACAAAATAAACGATTTGATATTTCTCGTTTTTTTGTCTTTTTCCTTTTTTTTTGTTTTTTTTGTTTTGTTTTTTTTTTTTTTTTTTAATGAGAATTCGACGTGCTCAAAAATAATAGTTCTCGTCTCGTATGATCGAACTTGTTGAACTTGAACTTTACGTTCCACGTTCCTGTGTATCCTTCTGTTTTCTTTTATAGGTAAAAAAAAAACAGAATTTTTTTTTTTCTACAGATAAACGATTCAATATTTCTCATTTTCGTTTTTCTTTTCCTTTTTTTTTTTTTTTTCGTCGACGGAATCGAAAATTTTTCAAAATAATCATTCGGCACGAATATTCAACCTTACTCAACAAACTTTAAACGTCCCATCTCTATATATTTTTCAAGGTTAAAGAAAGCAGATAAACTCTTTAGAGATAAATGATTTAATGGTTCTCGTTTTTCATCAGGAGAATTTGACTTTTTGTTTCTTTCTTTCCTTCTTTGTTTTTTCTTTTTTTCTTTTCCTTCCTTTATTTATTAATTTTTTTTTTTCTTTTCTTTTTTTTGTTTTTTTTTCTTTTTTTTTTTTTGGACAGATACTTTTAAGAAATAATCATACGCTCGACGTGATCGAACTGACTCAACAAATTTTACATATCCGTTTTATATGTATTTTTTAAATATCGGAAAAGCAATTTTTTCTTATTGTTTTTTTTTTTTTCTTTTAACGAGATAAACGAATATATGTTTTTCATGAATATATATTTTTATTATTATTATTATCACTATTGTTCGTTTTACGTCGTTGACCTGACTCAACAAATTTTGCACTAAGTAATCTCCACATTTTTCAAGTTTCGTGAAAGCGATTGAATTTTTTTTTTTATTTTCTTTTTTTTTTCTTTTTTTTTTAAGATAATCGATTCAACGTGGTCCTCATTTTTTTCGCCGGAAAATTTGCTTTTCTTTTTTCCGTTTTCCTTTTCCTTTATGAGAGAAACATCTTTTGGAAACAATCATACAGTTTTACGCGTCTGGTCTCTATTATAGTCTTCAAGTTTTGAGAAAATAAATTAATTTAATTTTGTTTTATTCTTATTTGTTAAAGATAATTAATTCAATAATACACTCTTCATTTTTCGGTGAAAGATTTTTTTAGATTTTTTCTCTCTCTCTCCCTCTCTCTCTCTCTCTCTTTTTTTTACATAATCCTACGTTTCACGTGATTGTTCTGTTTCAATGAACATCATGCGTCTAATCTATATACATATATTTTCTCAAAATTTCAAAAAAGCTAATATTAATTTTGGTCGAGATAAACGATTTGATAATATCTTATATATATATATATATTTTTTTTTTTATTATTTATTATATTTATTTTTATTTTTATTATATTATTTTTCTTAAGCTTTTTGAAATTCTTATTTTTCATTCATTTCATCAATCTAAAAATCTAAAAATCTAAAAATCTAAAAATCATAATCAAAAGTATACAATTTCTTTCTTTTTTTCTTTTTTCTTCTTTTTTTTTTTCGTAACGCACATCCTTGGCATCGATCAATTCGTATCCATCATTACGTAAGTTCACTAGCGGTGAACAAATAAGTTAAGTTCATTGGCGGTGTCAAATAGTTGAGATCGTCTTTTCACAATTTACCGGGACGGTCAAGTTAGAGGGCAAAGGTCGAATTCGGCAGAGGGGGCCACGGCAGGTTTTTCACTTTTGACCTGACTCTCTCATTGACGTGTTACGTGTCTCGTCTATGTATGTGTATATGTATATATGTATGTATGTATGTATGTATGTATGTTATAAATATTTTCAAAATTAAATATTAAATAAATATTTTTAAATAAAATAATAAAACTTCATATCGGAGTATTATAAATGATTTAATTTCTTTTTCTTTTCTTTTTCTTTTTCTTTCCTTTTATTTCTTTCATTTTTCTTCTTCTTCTTCTTCTTCTTTTCTGGCGGGAAATATCAACATTTTTAAAAACCAATATTTCGTGTCACGCGATCAAACGTAACTTAGAAATTTATTGAGCGTTGCGTGTCCTCTTCCTAATCTTCCCCCTTCCCGTCGTACACCCGTCCAACCAGTTTCGCTCCTCCCTTTATTTATACATTTATAAATAAGGTACAGTGAAACTTAATTAAAGTATTATAAATGATTTAACGTTCTTCTATTTTTTATTCCCTCGCGGGAAATTTCAACATTTTTTTAAAAACCAATAGTTCACATTTAGACAGGATCAATGGCTTAATGTGACGATTTATCGAACATTACGTATTCCCCTTTACGTATACGTTTTTTTCTCTTTTTTTTCATTTCCTTTTTTCTTTGTTTTTTTTTTTTTTTTTTTTCTTAAGCTACAACAGAAATTAATATCAAAAGTATTATAAA